CACGACTGAAAGAAAATAATGATTTTTGCTAATTTTTAGGCCAGAAGTACATCTGTACTTCTGTTTTAGACTTAATATGTGGTTAAAAAATAGCACACATTTTTTTGATGTATGTCCCCTTATTAACATCTTCTTGACGTCATAAAATGTTCAAAACTTTGCAGTGAATCTTACGAGGCTACACTTGATTTTTTAACATTTATGACGTCAAGAGTGCGTCAATAAGATGACATACAACTCAAAACCGTGCGCAATTTGTAAAGTGGCATCGCTCTACATCTTTTACGCAGGACATTGCCCCATGAAACTGCACGTTTCGTCATACACGTTGCTATTTAAAAAAATACCCATCTCTCTCTTCAAATATCAAATAGCCCGTCCCGTAGTTGACTGTGCAATAATTATCAGGAGAGGGGCCGTAAAACCAGAGGGGGAGGGACATTACATAAAATTGATGCCAAGATACGGGGGGCTCAAAGTAAAATGACCTAATTAACAGAGGGAGGGCCTTAAGTTTTATTCAAAATTTTCATTATTTTCTTTATCTTAAATTCAACGTAAATAACAACCATAATTGTAGAAAATTACAAAAACAACTTTATTTAACAATTAATATGATTTTGATATTACTTTTTCAGTTTTTTTTAAGAAGGTTTATAACAACACTGATCCTTTTTAATCTGCTAACTTAAAGCTTGTTAGGTTATCTTTTTTATGAAAAATCCATTACGAAACTAACCGTCTGTGATTTAAATTTTGTCGTGTTTGATTTTGTTTTTCACTTTTTCAATTGTTTCCCTTTTTCCAATCTCTGATCTTTTTCCAGTCTAACACTTGCACTTGAGCCGATGCTTTAAACAAATAAACGATTTTAGGTACAGGCATGCAGTTTTTTTACTATACCATTGATTTCATTTCTTACACTTATAGTCTTCACGTTTAACCRTTGACTTGGTTTTTGGAGTATGCCGCCAATTTCCGGTTTCGTTGTTTTTTAAAGTCGAGGAAAAAAGTAAAGAAAGAAACTTCACTGTTCCCAAGGTAACGCCGATCAAGGGTTTTTCGTTTGTCTGTTTGTTGYGGTTTTTGTTGTTGGTGGTGTTTTTTTTTTTGGAGGGGATGGGGTCACCATAGTAAAAAGCTTGAGAAATAATGTTTTTCAAATTTGTTCAAAGATTTACTAAAYTTGTTCAAAACATTTATAATTTAGTATGTGTCTCCAGTGCCCTCTTCCTTACGCTAGACAAGAGAGAAATTATGCATATCATGCATATGACCCGACGGTGAGCTTTGCTGTATTTCCTCGTTAAATAACGTTTATAATTATTTTTTGAAATCGAGATAAGCGATACGAAAAAACATAATTATAAAACTTGTGGATTTGAAATCGGAATATATCAAAAAAGTTAAACAACAAAAAAMGGCAAACAAAATATAAGATAATATCATAAGTGCATATCTTTAAATGTGTACTTCTGATAACATATATTAGTTTTATTTCACCTGGCTGTTAATATCCAAAAGCCCTGTCGTCACAAAGCCACGATTCTGTCATCTGTAAATTTTAGGGTCAACTAACARCTTTAATGAATTCGATGTGTCCCAAAGTGCAAATGCTTGACTGAAAACGCTCCGAATACGGGAAAATGTGGAAGCGAAAAAAGAATGMCGGATCATGACAATAATTTTATTTAGGAAAAACAAATTCTTCTTTCAAATGCTTGAATGTCAGTTTAACAGGTTAACAAATTACCACAAATGTCTTGTACATCAAAAAAATCGCGCACTTTAAAAGGTTGTAAATTTGATGAAAATACGATGAAAATGTCAAAAATGATGTAAATTTAATGAAAGTCTCCAAAATGTTTTAAATTTGATGTAAATTTGTTGTTATGACACTTACATCATATTTACATCAAATTTACAACCTTTAAAATGCGCATTTTTTTCCAGTGTATTACTATCCAACAATATCACAAATTCTGCACTCTGATTTGYTACTAAACTATGATGTATTCATGTCAGGCCATGATCAAATCGTACATGGTTAGCAAAATAGACTGTATTTACGAACTAAACGAATAAAAAAATAATTTCTTGGTCTTTTGTCTTAAAAGCCTTCGATAGTGTCTTCACTTCCTCGTGTATCCTAGCAACGTGACAAATTATGTTCTCTAGTTTCAAAGGATTTCAGTTATTTGATGCAGTAACATCTCAATCAATTATGTTCACTTTATTTTTCTTACTTTCTTTATTTGTCTTTCTTTTAACTTGCCYCTTTTTGTTTTTATAGCTTGGTTTAACTTTATTCGTAGAATGTAGAATTTGCACAAGAATATCGAAAAGATATATCAAATTRAACATCCAAAGAAAAAAGAAAATAAAGAAAAAGAAAAGAAAAAGAAGTTATTAGTTATCAAACTGCCAATCATACTTTATTAGATTATCGCGATCGACTGCTCTTCTTGGRTATAAGGCGTTCGATTTTGAAATTTTTGACTTCGGCTCTTTCTTTATCTTGCACAGTAAGTGTTAATGTTAGTGGTAACAATGAAGAAGAACTTTGCTATCACCATTACTGAGAGAGAAAACATGCAGRTTGGTGGACAATCTCGTTACAAAAGTTACACGKGACATCAATTACTGCGTGCATTCGTAAATGGCACAAGTGGATTTTTCWATTAGCTTTCTTTTCCTTTATTTTCAGACTTTCTTGCTTTTCTTTCCCTGGTCGAATGTCGTCGAATCACGATGCACACTGTATACACAGGCAGCCCAGCCTATTTCTTATTGAATCCTGAATGTCATTACAAAAGATGACGATCAAGCGCTAATTTAAGTTATGTGAAAATGGCTGTSAACCCGTTCCAGTTGTAATTCTCCACGCAAGATGTGGGGCAAATACATCTCTCTAGCTTATTAATATCATCAATCTATTATTGYTGTAAAACGAAATTAACTACGAATATAATTCCTTAAATGAATACTATCAAAAAGGCGAATTGCAATAAAAAACGGCTGCTTATCATTATATATATCGGTTCCATGCATGCAGCGTGTAAATTGACATTCCCAAATAAGTTAGATTTAAATCTGAGGTGAAAATGAGTTTCACAGATTAGGGCCTTATCATAWGAAGTTGGCTGAAGTTGACGGGTTCAACGAGCTACTTTCTCTTTTTTCTCCAGGGGACACAAAACAAAAGAAATCAGCCAGGTCATGCAAGGTGCATATATTCAGGCTATTAGAATGCATGAATGAGACTTTTTATCATTTTGGTCTTCTCTTTAAGACCTAATTAGATGAAGCGGGCTGGCTCGGTTGACCGGGCTGATTTATTTTGTTTTGTGGATGTCCCTCATGGAAAACAACTCAAACGAAACCAGCCCGTTCAACCGGGCAAACACACTTCACACGAATAGGGAGTCCTTTGTTATAAAATACGTTTATATGAAATCCTTCTCTGTTTTTTTCTGAATTTTTCCAGTCCTGATAATGCTGTAGAACAGCGAAAGCTCGACTCGATATGAAGTTTATTTACCATCTAACTACAGAATGTGGCTGCATTTGCTATGTTATTACTCTTGAGTTCCTTACACTTTGTCCCAAAAAATAAAGAGAAAGTTTTTACCTAGTAATTGTTCTGACTCAAATAGGACAAGTGGACTTGTAACGAGATATTGCTCTGTTTAGCTTCCTCTTCTTAGACTGATCTAGATGAATAATGGTGACTTAATCAACCTCCAATGAAAGTGTTTGGTATAAACAATTTTGGTTTAATCTCAAGTATCGAGTGTTTTCTCTCCATCTAGGTTCCAGTGATTGAGTGCTTTCTCTCCAGAGATCTCGGTTCTTTTCAATCAAAGTTTTTTCGCGCCGAAGTCATCACCGTGGAAATGAAAATGTAAAAACAAAGAAAGTCCATTAGATATTGATCAATGTTTGTCCGCACCTATTGGCCAATGCAGAGTCCATTTAAATCTTACGCTTTGCACAAATACCGCGCCTAGTGGAATCACGGCACATTTCGTAGAAGATTTTGGCAGGCCGAGCAGGCTTCATYCAGGTAAGTTCAATAATTTTGCAATAAAGCAGTTTTAAGCGAGAAATCTTAGTTCTAGTCCTTGCATATTCTGTTATGTATCTCAACCACTCCATATTCTGAACGTAAGAAAGCGCTGTGTTCGAGGCTATTTTCTGTTCAAATCTATTGTGGTAACAGAGTAGAGACATTYTAAAAGAGGATTATAATCATCAGAACTGTGCAAAGGTTTTTAGAGCGGGTATGCAAAAACTTACACAGTTCATTCAACTGAGAGGATTAAAGATTACCGAGACCCGCATCAAAAATATCATCCTATAACAACTATTATTACTACTATATATAAAGCAAAAAGATTTGTCAGATTTGTTATTAAATACAGCCTCTTAGAAAGTTTTTTTGTACATTTTTTCTATAAATTACTTAAAAAAAGTAATTTTATCGMCTCCACAAAGAAAACAAATAGAACGGCTTCGAGGGGTAATAAACGTGCGAGGACCACCATCATTCCTTGTAACACAAAAGTGCGTCGATTAATTACCCATATCCAGTCTCCCGCAGTTGGAAATCGGATGACTTCGTTGCCACAAATTTACATTACAATAATCCWKTATCGAATTCTCCAATGCTCTGTGTTAGCCTCATTTCTACGCAGAATTCCTAATTTTGAGAATAAAAGGGTGGSTTTTCAAATCAATTATATTGTCTTTCTTTCCAAATTCCATGCGCTTTCTAGGGCTATCAATAAAACAAAAGAATATTTCACTTGGTTTTGACGCTAACACAGAGCAAATTGGAGTATTGATGCTTTTAAAAGTATAGTTAAACCGCATTAAATTCAGCTTCTTTGATAAAAAATCGATAATAACATTTCAATATGACACACATGCAGTTTCTACATTTTTTATGGCATTGTTTCTAAAGGTTTTCTTTGTTAAATTGTATTATTTTTAGGATGTGGATGCATTTGCTGATCTTTCTTTGCTGTCTCGCTTTCAGTGAAATTCGGGGTAAGTTAGAAATAGACTAACTAATGATTGTTTTGTTTACKCTCGGTTTCTTTTACATAGACAAGGAAAATGCTACCAAACCTAACTATTCAAATTTAGTTTTCTTCGTTGAAGAGTCTCGTCCTGCACCTTAGTACCTTAATGTTTRTCAATATTTGCAAAATGCAAAATCGGCTATTTGATGTCCGACTCTTAGCATTGGCTYCTTCAAAGCAATAATTGACTTAAAATGCGACCAACTTCTAGAGCAATCATCCACCTATTGAGTGCATTCTCCAGTTCTCCGAAAATATAT